TCAGCTTTTTACGTCAAGCGCTTTAAGCAGGATCGTAATTAATCAATGACCAGATTTTTCGAAACACCCTTTATACATTTTTAAAAAATCTTAAAATATGTAAAAACAAAATAAAATATACGTGTTTAAGCGTTTTTTCGGAAACTTGACCGTTTTTAAATAAAAATATTGTAATATTTGAGGGGTGGTTTCACCCTGAATTCGAGTTTCGAAAAAATCCTTCTTATCGAACCTCTACAACCTAAAGTCAATCTGTTTTCCAAAATCAGCTTTTTACGTCAAGCGCTTTAAGCAGGATCGTAATTAATCAATGACCAGATTTTTTCGAAACACCCTTTATACATTTATAAAAAATCTTAAAATATGTGAAAACAAAATAAAATATACGTGTTTAAGCGTTTTTCGAAATTTGACCGTTTTTTAAATAAAAATATTGTAATATTCCACCCCCCTTTTTACCCCCTTAGGGGATGAATTTTAAAAAATCCTTTCTTATCTTACGTATACATCATAAAAGGAACCCCTGTGCAAAATTTCAGCTTTCTAGGGTCAAGGGTTTGGTCTGGGCGTTGATGAGTCAGTATCAGTCAGGACAGTCAGATTTATATACTAATATAGATATAAAAATATTTATTTATCTAAATAGAGCGACCAACGTGCCGCCACCTCAAGGAAGGCAATGGCAAACCACCTTGAGTATATTTGCCTTGTACAGCCTCTCAAATATGCCGTTCGGATTCGGCAATAAACTGTAGGTCCCGTGTACTTGTGAAACACTGATGACACACATCACATGGACAATGCGAGAGGTAGCCGACGCTCTTTATAGAGTATGGCACTGTAAGAAGTCAACTTTTTGATCAACTTTTTTATCAATTCGAATAAAAGAAGTAGCGTAGACAAAAAGTAAAGTTGTAGAGGACTTAATTTTCGACAACTTTTGTGTAAGGAAGTTTTTGTAGGATGTGTGTGTATGCCTGCGCTACATATTAATATTACATATCTAGAAATATTTACAATTTCTGTTAAGTAATAGCAAAAATTAATACTTTTTCGGCAAAACTATTTAATATAAGATTGTAGAGAGTTTAATTTTGTACAAATTTGTAATCTAATTTTTTTGTCGAAAATAGAAATAAAATAGGATTAGCAAAAAAATTAAAGGTAAATTAGACAAAAAATGACAAACAAAAATAATATACTGGGTTCTAACCCACCTAGGCGGAATTATTGAAATCTAATATAGAAAATTCTCCTGTCAAAGTTTTAGTTAGCATACTCCTCCGAAACGGCTTGATCGATTTTGATAAAATTTTATATATTTATTCAGTAGATCTGAGAATAGGTTGTTATCTATTTCTTATACTCCTAATCTTCTGTAATCTTGCTGTTAAAACAAAACAATTGATTTTTATATATAAAAACCAGCTGGTATCTTTTAACCGCAGGATTACGGGAAGTCGTTGCAGCCACCCTAAGAGATAAAGGTGGTCCAACCCAATGACCTCTAAATAAAGTAGACCCGGCATTTCATTCATAAAAAGGAGAAGATCAGAATCAGACATTCGTTTCTTGCTCTATGCGAGTGGGAACAAGACGGGCTGATCGCAGTCATGAAGGATTCCCGTGAGAATGGCAACGCTGTTCAGAGATCTTGAGAAAGTGTGTCACAGTAGTTACTTTGATTGTAATATAATTTAATATTATATCCGCGTAAATACCGGGAAAAAAAGCGGCGTCCAGTTGGCTTGGAAATGACGATCGATGACATTTCCCATATAATTTTACATATAAAATGACAGCGATCTTCATTTCGTAGCCATCGTTGACGCCGTTTTTATTCGATCATACGGTATGATTTTTGGATACGATATATTGTTGTGCTCGATGGCTCTTCAAATTTTGAAAATGACTACTTCTGTACTCCAATAAATTGAAAATAACTAATTGAAATATTATGATATGCACATTTCCATAGTATAAAGTCTGTAAATTGCTCCAGTAGTAATATAATCCATCAAGCATTCAATGAATACGAGCCGACGACGACTTTTATAAAACATTTATGTGAATTAATGGTTATTATTTTGCTTGAAGCAACGGTGGAAAATGAGAATATTTTAAAACTGTCGTGACTAATTACAATTTTATATTAGGTATAAAAATATTACTATATAGCAACAATAATAAAGATCTTTGTTAAACAAAAGAAAATTTCTAAAATATTTACTTATTTCTGGAACAGTTTCTTCGCGGATAATCGGGACCTTGTACTGAATAAATAATTAACTTTTCATTAGAAGTTACCAAACAAAAAATAAGTAATGCTTTAAAACATATCAAACAAAGATGCATTCATCTTTTTAAACTATATAATTTTTTATAGCATTAATAAACAAAACAAAAATACATTGCTCTATTACCACAAACATTATACCATCGAAAAAGAAACGGCGTAAAAATGACAATCAGTGATAATTTTGGCGAGGTGATATGTCATGACCCCTACTTGTTTATTTTAATGGCACTTACCAGCAGTAATAGGCCTTTAAGGTTGTATTACTTTAAATGGTGTAGTATAAATTTGAAATTTTTTTTTTGATATCGGTTTGTGTTTCTGAAACGTTCTATCCTTTTTATAATTTTTCTATAATTAGTATTAGTTTTTGATGTTAATTTTTAATTAAATGACATCTAGAAATAGACCTCGCCAAAAAATATATTGATTGTTATTCAGCAATCTTCGATACCGTTTTTTTTTCGATCATTCGGTATTTAGTATGTAATATCCAACGTACTCTTCCCTAACTTTTTTCAATCATTATATAAATCTATTTTGATTTTTACACTTAAAAAATCATCTTTAACAACTAAAAATCCTAATAACAATCAGTATGATAGAAAAAAAAAGGCCTCCAGTTGGTTTAGAAATGAACACGATGACATTCCCTCATATAATTTTACATTGTACAAAAATGACAGCGATCTTCATTTCTTTTACAGCTATCGCTGACGCCGTTTTTTTTTTCGATCATATGGTATTTCGCTTATGAACATTTTTCATAACTGTGGCACTTTATATATTTTCAACAAATTAACGTATTTGTATACTTGGTATTTGTATACTTGGTTTTAATAATTAAAAATTATGAGCAAAATATTCAATAAACCAAACGTGACGAAACTAACTTAATGTAATTCATTACTTATAACGGTACATTCCAAAAACTGTGTGATTACTACATTTCCAAAGATTTTTCTATTTTACCTTTCGGCACCGCACTGATGTAACATAGCCTACTCACCTTCGAAATGAAAACTTCTAGGTTTAAATCGTCTCATTTTTGCAAAATAAGCAAGTTCGCACCATTGTCTTATTGTTTATCAATAAAAATCACTAAAACAATACCACAAAACACTAAATATCTGGAAATCACCTCGTAAAACATTTCGAAAAACTACAACACATTGGCAACGCCGTAGAGCAATTTATGAACGAATTCGAACTGGATGTTTTTGTTGGCTGCCTAAATTCTAGGAGTGAAGATAGTAAAGTACGTTTTCGGCATCAGCTGGCGCTTGCGACGTTGTCGATTGTTTTATGTTAAATTTTAATTTCTAAAATTATAATTACAGAAGATTTAAACTTTACTTATTAACTTTACTACCTTTAATTATTATCGGTTTAAAATATTCTACGACGTAATCTTATTTGGAATTATGGAATTACTGGTTTACAATGTGGGTTAGCTATCCCCGTACGTATACGTAGGTAAGATTTCATTTTAAATGCGGCCGGTAGTGGAAATTTGGCATACATGCAATTTTCTAAGGCAATGATGGATTTCGCCAAAATGTAAGTCGCCGGGTCTAATTTATTTCGATGTCATTGGTCCAACCCAATTTTATTTATTTTCTCGACAAAATTTTTTATTTTTATTTTTTTATAATGAGCCATTAAAAAGTACATACAACCCTAAACTTTCACCCTTCCATCATCAAGCTCTATTTTTTAATAGCGATTTTAGTAATTCAATAATTTTGAACCCCGTGAATAAAAATGACTCTTGTTCCATAAAATACATTTATACAGGGTGTTTCAAAACAAATGCGAAAAACTTCAGGGGGTGATTCCTTGTTCAAAATAAAGGGTAGTTTGCTTCATAAACGTTGGGTGAAAAGTCAACCATTAGGGAGATATCGCGGTACAAAGATGGCGGAAAAATAATGTTCTTATTTTTTATCTTGAAAACGAAAAGAGATAGACTAATGAAATTTATGGAAGCATTACTGTTATGAAAACACTTTCTTGCTAATTTTTTTCACTTTTTAAAATGAGTGGAAGAGGTTGAAATAAACTACCCCTATCATTCTTGTTAACGAAATTTAAAGAAAAATCTTATCAAACACATGCAAAAAAATAAATTTGGATAGTTTAGTTTGTTTAGAAACTTTTTTATTATCTCTTGTATTTTTTTTTATAAAACTCACCGATTTGAAATTAAAAAATAAAATGTAAAGCATTACATGTCAGAACTAAAAATATTTTTAGATTAAGAATCTAGTGATAATAATGATAATAATAATAATCTAGATAATAACGTATTGCAGTAGGTTAATGTCAAATAAAACAATATTAGAAACATCCTAAAAAGTGACAGCGGCCGACTAGATTTTTTCCTAAAAAAATTACAGCTGCCCACTATGGTTGACTTTTGACCCAACGTTTATAAAGCAAACCACCCTTTATTTTGAACAAGAAATCACCCCCTGAATTTTTTCGCATTTGTTTTGAAACACCTTGTATAGCAAAACAACCTTTGCCGGGTCAGCTAGTAATTTTATAACCTTTTGAGTTGCTTATTTATGACTAGTTTATGCTCTGCGAAATATTTTTTTTGGCTATTCGAGTTAAATGGCGTAATACAATTTTAATACTAAAGGTTTTATTTTTATTTTGTTATTTTTTAATTTAATTTAAATTATTTTTAATTTTTCAGTTCTGACTCCCCATATTGGTAGTGCCACAAACAACACACGAAATGCAATGGCAGAACTGACCGCTAAGAATATTCTACGAGCATTACGCGGAGAGGAAATGATCACACCTGTAAAACTCTAATGAATTACTTTCCTTTATTCTCATAGATGCCAATGTCGATGCTTACTTTTGGCCTTGGCCATTTCATGAAATAAACATTTCTTAATCTCCTTCTTTTTTATGTGCCCTATCCTCGAAGAACGTTCGCTACCATCAATGACACTTGTATTTTGTTCACAGCTCTTCTAAATAGCGTGTTGGTATTTACTCTGTACCTCTCCTGCAAGTTCTTGAGTCAGAACATCCTTTTTCTTCCAGCTGAGCGTCTCCCTTCCATTTTGCCTTGCATGGTGTTCTGCAATATATAGCTGGTACTTCTCCTGTCTCATAAGATGTCCAAAGTATTCCAGCTTTCTGGTCTTTATGCTTTTTGGGAGATGCTGTCTTGGATATATATCTTGTTAAAAAAAAATCAGTTAAGTTGTTTAGAGCTGCATCTGAATAAATGTTACGTCATCGGTCCAATTTTGAAAAAACAAAATCTACAGAGTCTATAAAATTATATAGCTTAGAACGATTAACATCGAAAGTATTAATTAATCGGATAGCTTTATCTGAATTTACTGTAAAAGGAGTTGGTGTTGCTTGACGAGTTGGTACAGTGGTGCTACTAGTAGTAGATGTATTTGATTCCATTTTAAAGTAAGTTGGTGGTATAACTTATGCAAATTATTTTCAAAAAATTAAAAAAAAAAATATTATATAAAAAAAAAGAATTAGGCAATAAGACTTACCCACAATTTAACTCCTGTGTGAGAAATGACTGTGACCAGTGTGACTTCTCGCTCCACCTTTCTTGTCCAGATTCCAGTAGACGCAGGCTAGGGGACGTTCCAGGAAGACTTCGATGCGCTCCAGATTCCTGTACTGGCTAAGGATGCTTGTCTTCAATAGGGTCCCAAATTCCACTTGTCCAAGGTTTAACAGCAAGGCTCAAATTCCAGTAGACGCAGGCTACACTGAAAAAAATATTGTTCATAATATTAATGAACATTGATTATTAACTGTTGTTTCATTGGGACAATGATTTTTTTCATTAATATAATGATTTGTTAATCATAGATCGATGTCCGATTTATTAATACTATGAATCTAATTTCATCAATATAATGAAAATATGGTTATTAAATTAATGTAAGATTTTCATTTATGTAATGAACGTGTTCCTTGTTCCAATGAACGCTTTCTTTATTTTAATGCTGAAACTTTAATAAACACATATTCATTATATTAATGTACAAAATCATTGATTAATGAGTTGTACATTGTGACAATGAACAATGTTATTAATACAACAAACACACTACATTATATTAATGTACGCGGTTATTAATATCATGAATAAAATATTAGGGCTTAAATGTCCGCCATGTTGATCGGTTACTTTGGCACTTTAATAACGTCTGTGTGGTTGAGTTATTCAGTGAGGCTTTAGTTTCATTAGAACGGTAAGTGTTCTCTTCAATATTTTAAATATTTTAAATAAAAGTCCTATCGTATTGTAGTTAATTTGTTGTGTTGTCAAATCAAATTCCGCTGTTTGAGATCTTTGGTGTGGGTATTCATTAAAACAGCGGTTTCCAAATATGTTTCAGAAGATAAAAAACAAAAAGAAGAAAAACATAGTAACAAGTCGAGGCATGGAACTGATTATGGTAAATTCGAATGTTCTTTTAATATTTGGCGTTTTAATTATTTTGATATACGTCTTTTAGAACCGGAAGAAGATGTTGAGACCTGCCTTCAAGCCCTCAAATTCGACAATTTAACATCGGACCCACTTGATGCGACTTGGAAAGCCTGTTACAAATTCGTCTAGACGTTATCAAGTCTAAGAATACAGCTAATATAATAAAGAAATGGTCATTTTTATAGAAATCCCTCAGGATATCGACTGGTAAATTAATTTTCTTATTATATAATTTACCCTAAATTTAATAATAACATTACTATTCTCTTCGTCGATTCGATATTTTTAATTTTTAATTTGTATATATGCTATATCGAGTTTAATAAATTATTATTAGTTTATTGCACTTGTTTTTTATTAATAATCCCTAATGGAATAATTTACTGTGCTCGTAAGTAAGTCGGCACTATTAGTAATTTTGTTACCTTTGTAGCTAAGGGCTTGTTCAAATGGAAATCTATTTATAGTAGAATTATTTTAGGTAGTTGGCTGGGAAATGACTATCAATGACATTTCATATCAATGACAACGATCTTCATCATCGATTATACGGTATAACAAGAGTTACTAATAGTGTCGACTTTTAAATGTATAACTAAATAGTTTATGAAATTATTTCATTGTATTAATGATAACGGTTCATTAATACAATGAAATTATTTCATTGTATTAATGAAATATGTTCATTGTACCAATGAATGTGTTCTTCAAATTAATTAACACCGTTCATTGACTTAATGAACTTAAAATTCATAGAGTTAATGAATTACTTTTCATTGTGCCAATGAAATCGTTCATCGGCCCAAAATTAATGATTTAATTCATTATATTAATGAACTTTTTCATTGTATTTATGTCGACTTTTGGTTCAGTGTAGGGGTATGTTCCAGGGGATCTTCGGTGCACTCCAAATTCCAAACTTGAGACTAAGAATGCTTCTTCCCACAGGGTACCCAAATTCCACTTGTTTACGGCTAAGGGTGCGTGTTCACGAAAGCGAGCAGATTTTTTGGAAAAATTCAGGTGATTCCGGTTAATTGAGGTAAAATCAAACGAGATCAGCGTTATGGTCTCTCCGGAATAATCCTACCGACTGCGCCAGTTTTGGAACAGGTTAAATTAAATAAAAAAACAGCATTTTTTAAACGAAATCAGTTTATAATTTTAAAAAGATGTTAATGCAACGGTGGTACAGTCAAATCTAAATATAAAAATGAAAAGCTTAGAGTTCTTTATTTCCACTTAACAAAAAACTGATGTGGTCGACATTTCAGTCGTACGTGCTTGCGATGAGATAATTTCGAGAAGCGTAGCTGGTGGACCGATGACGTAACATAAATAAGTTTGTAAAGTATCTCATCGGGTCCAGTTGCTTCCTTATCCTTAGATAGCGTTATAGCACTCATGTGTTATGAGGACTATCTGCCCTGTCGGCGTAGAAGAGATCGGTTAGGTATCTCTCCCATTCTTCCACCTTTTCTTCAATATCGAAAATAAGTTTTCTTTGCTTGTCGTAGATCTGCTCCGCTTTCCTTCTTTTAAATATTCCTGCTCACAATCTTCTGTTTTACTACATTGTTCTATTAGATGATAAAACCAAACCAAACCTTTGCTTCTCGAATTTTCTGACGTATTATTCTATGTAGCCTTCTGTATTCTTCATAATTTCTCTTTTTAACCTTTCGGCGTTTCTCCATTATTTCCAAAATATCGTTGGTCATCCAAGGTTTTCTTTTAATTGGTGTTGCTGCTTTGAGATTGTGTTTGCAAATTTTTACTATCGGTTCTTTTATTTTATTCCAGGCAACTTCAACTCCATCTTCGGTTATGACAATTTCTTTTAGACTTTCATTTATATCAGTACTGATCCTTTCATTGACGGTGTCATCTTTTAATAGTGTTCGGTCAAAACTATTCCTTTGCTTAGGTTTCTATCCAGGCTCCCGGTGATTTACTAATAAACAAATTTGCCTAACGGACAAAACAATACTTAACGGAAGCTAAAACACAAAGAATAAATAAAAAACTATTTAAAATATCTAAATACAACTATTCAAGAACACTTTGTTTTTTTTTAACAAATACGTCTTAATTGTTGACATTCTCTTAAAATGAGATATCAAGTTAAACGTCAAAATTAATAATTACTACCTAACAAATATTTAATGAGATAAAATCAAAAAGTCTGAAACTTTCTGTATGATTATTATTTAATTTGTTTTTAATTTTTACTTATTTTATGTTTATTAATGTTATATACATTAAAAATCAAAGAAGCGATTGCCATACAAAACTAGTTAATTTAAGTATTTATGAGCCGTGGAAAAATAGCATTTTTAAAAATATATAGAACTCACATGATAAAATTTTAGTAAACGAGGTAAAATTATTTTGAGTTTTTTTATTTATAGACTGGTTGACAAACCAAAATGAAATAGGCTAACGTGTTGTATAAAGATTATTTCAAAGTATCTAATAGGATCCATTAAAATATTAAAAATCTAAGGTGATCATGGTCCAACCGTTTTAAGACAGTATTTAGTCTGTGATTTAGTTATGGTGTTATAGATTTCTTCCTCAAATCACAGAGTATCATATCGGTGTATTACATCCTTTGGAATTATTATGTTCGTGCAAAGTGCCTAGACATGTCGAGTTTGGTTTGGTTTGCACATGATATTCATAGTACCGATATCAATTAAACAAGAAGCAAGATCAACTAAACCATGATATAAAGGTATGCTGAAAAAGTTATCAATGGATAGTATTTTTAGTAGTTTTCTACGTAACAATGCATGCATATATTACTAAAACGGTAATGTATTTTCTTCTTTATGTGTTGATAACGGCAAAGAATAAAAAAATACTTCAATTAAACTTCGATTAAAATCATGTGTATGGAGATAAATGCCCTTAACTTAGATGATAATATATTTTATATCTTGAGTAGAAAAGTGAAAAGATACATATACAAAAGAATTTTATTTAATAACTAAATAACTTATATAAATTAAGAAAGGGATATTATGCCATGTAAGTACTAGTAAATTAGGTAAGTAAATTTGTCTTGGTTTACCTATTGCCTATTTGAATTGCATTTCTGCAACAATATCGGACTGTATACGGGGTGATTAATGGCCATGGTACGTACCACTGCGATAAAAAAAGTAGTACAACAAAATATGTTTTAATCTGTTGGTCTGTAATAAAATATTTTTAAAACTTGAAAAATTGCCCATTTTTAAAAGGTAGGTAAATTTTTTATACTATTATTTCGCCACGTATACCTACCAATTATTACCAAATTCATGGTAATGCCTAAAAAGTTAGGTGGCATAAATGTATTGTTCGACGATATCCACTTCTCGATATCCTTATAGACCAGGAGTTCTATCTGGGACTACTAATTCTTGTACTACT